GACATGATAATAACTTAGCCTTAGTGTTTCATGAAACAATTTAAATAATTTACCATCATATGGGGAAAAAGTAGAGACTTTGTGGAGGGGGAGATGATTAATTTTCAAATGTATTGAAATTTGAGTATATTTATATATGCGGCCTCATGTTGTGTGCATGTGTTCATTCTCTTAAAGCTTGCACATGTAACAAATTGGCTCAGTAATTGTTTTGTGGATTTACTGCACATTTCTCATGGCAGAAAACCAAGCAGTAGTTTAAAAGGATGAATCTTCAAAATTCAAGAATTTGTTTTGTTCCTCTGAAGTTGTTCTTGCCTCTGTGTTGTGTCCAATAATCCTATCATGCTAACATATTTGCTTTGATGTTCATTGCTCTGCTTCTGGTGTCTGACTGTATATGGGTGTGGGTGTTTGTGTGTTAAGAAGACTAAAGGTTACTGGGAAGGTCAAATGAAAAGTTGGCTACACATAAAGCATAAGATCAAACAATTCTGTAAACTTGGCAAAATATGGCGTCCCTTCTCTGCTTTTATAGATGTGGTAAAGGATGATGCAGATGCAGACTTGGTGGATGTTTTCTCTCATATGTGTCTTTTTGCAGACCCCAATGTTTGGTGATGACTGGTTATCCCAACTCTCGTCCTGCCCTTCTGGATCTGGTCCACAGTTTCACCAAGAATGTAGGCATGATGATCTGCGGCCATATTCGCACGGTGAGCAGATGTCATTTGGCTTGTTTTTTGTTTTTGTTTTTTGCTACTGATGAATTAGCTGTCAAATTGCTGTTTAAAAGTCAGTTTTTAGCTAGATTCATCCAGTTCTTCACCAAACTGTTTAAACCACATAGCACTGATTAGCAGGCAATATAAAAGAAGACTTTGATATGCTGTGGGAGCCTCTGGATTTGGTTGCATCGGTGGTTCTTAGACTGTAGGATGTGGAGCCAATGCAGGGGCAACCAGGAGAAAAATGTGAAATGTGTATAAGGTGTTTTCATATCTTGGAGAGGACATCTAATTGACATAATGCTTTCCCTGTTCCCTTGCTCTAACCATCAAAAAACCAATGCTTAACCCTAACCTCAGGTTATGGTAAGGTTGAGGCTAATTTTAACCCTGACACTAAAAGCACATTTTGAGCATCAAACACGCCTTCACACTCGTGGGTACTGGCATTTTGTCCCCATAAGTGAATGCTGGTCCCCACATGTTTAGTAGGAAGCCAATTTTCTGTCCTCAGATGCACACACACACAACCATAGAAGATCAATTTATGTACCTGCGCATTTTCCAATGTTTGTTCCAGGTGTTATGTTTATTTTTTTTGCAGGTGCAGCAGTTGGTGATACATTGTGCATTTCTATTTTTTACTCTGTCCTTTTATTTATTTGGATGGTGGTGGGGACTTTTTTTCCTTTTTCTAGAAAGCAATGAAAAACATATTCCAGTGAAGAGTTTTCGACAGCATGAAATAAACGATAGAGTACAATATGTCGTTTTAATATATCATCATATCGCACAGCCCTAATGTTGCACACAAAGCTAGTGAACGATTTGGAATAGCCTGGTCTTTTGTATTTTAAAAATAAGTACTGCAGAGTACTGAACGAAAAAGGCACAAAAGCAGGCAGAGATTCAGAGCAGGTGATTGTTCCGCACATTAAATTCTTCTGTTTAACTTTCACACATCAAAAGTTGTTGAAATTCGCATCTTTTCATCTTTGAAACTTAGATTTGTGGTCATTTGTTGTACAATACCAACACTGATAAATTTAAGGCTGTTGGATTAATTTGGCAGCACGGTGGCACGGTGGTTAGCACTGTTGCCGCACAGCAAGAAGGTCCTGAGTTCAATTCCACCATCAGGCCGGGGTCTTTCTGTGTGGAGTTTGCATGTTCTCCCCGTGTTTGCGTGGGTTCCCTCCGGGTACTCCGGCTTCCTCCCAC